TATATATATATATGTGTGTGTGTGTGTGTGTGTGTGTGTGTGTGTGTGTGTGTGTGTGTGTGTGTGTGTGTAATTATTTCGCTTACGAAGCCCACAAGGCGGAACGTCAGACTTTTATACTCTTATAAATCTCGAGATTCCATAGTCTTTACCTTTTTTTTTGCCTTTCTTTATCTTCATACAACAACGATGATCATCATCATCATCATCACTTTTAAACAACGGATAGAGGAATTCACAGTCAACCTTCTTCACAGTGGGTACCGAAAAATTTTTTTATAACGCCCATTATCGAGAAAGTCAGCAAATTGAACCGCACAACCCTTCTGACCTACAAACCCCTAAAGCCAAAACAGAAAAGACCATTTTTCGTCACTACTCATCACCAAAAACTACCTAAGGTACATACAATCCACAGCCAACACAAAAGCATCTTGGAAAAATCAGACAAAATGAAAGCCTGTTTCCTCGACCCTCCTCTGATTGCACTTCGTCAGCCTCCTAATCTTGGCAACCTCCTCATTCGCACTAGAGCAGTAACACCCACATCCTCACTTCCGGTAAACCCAAGTTCCCCGCCTCAAAATTATCCTTGTCAAAAACCTAGATGCAAAACATGTGCTTACATGAAAGTAACCAACTTTGTAGAAGGCCCCCACTTTAAAAGAAAACTTTCCCACAGCATCACTTGTGAAACCAAACATGTAATATACCTCATATCCTGTAAAGTCTGTCCAGCTCAATATGTAGGTTAAACTACCACCACACTAAGAGCTAGGTTTAATAACCATAGGTATTCAGTCCAGAAAAACTCCAGCACACCTTGGCCAACATTTCAACAGTCCTGGTCAAATTGGAACCTCCGATTTGCAGCTTCAGGGCGTTGAAATAGTCCAATATCCAACTAAAGAAAAACTTAACCAAAGAGAATCAATGTGGATTTGGAACTGGGGGTCTCACAAAATTATCACTGGCCTTAACATCGACGAGCCCCATTTTAAGGACCTAAAATTTACAACGTAACGTACTAATCGCCCCTTATGTTCCTGCAACCCCCTCCCTTTGGCCCTGCCTTTCTGTTATATTCCTTACCTCCACGTACTAGTTCTCTCTCTCTCTCTCTCTCTCTCTCTCTCTCTCTCTCTCTCTCTCTCTCTCCCTCTCTCTCTCCCTCTTTTCCTTTCCCTCTCTCTGCCACCTCTGGCCCTAGTGTTTCTCTTTCTCTGGCCTTTCCGATTTGTGTTCACCGCACCCTTCTGTTATTATATTCCTTACTTCCACGCACCTTTCCACCCCCCCCCCTCTCTCTCTCTCTACCACTTCTGGCTTTAGTGTTCCCTTCTCTCCGGCGATTTGTACCCACCGCTCCTTTAAATATTCAGACATTTATGTACGCACTTTAGTTTTTATAGCCTGTGTATATGATGATGATGATGAAGATATTTCCGATATTGTCCATATCACAACAATACGTAACTTATAGTGAACACTTTGTTGCTGTGGCGTCATCACTCATTTATTTTTTTCTCAAATACTATGTTCCTGATGAAGCCTTATTGGCGAAACGTTGAACTGTGAAAAAAAAATATTTTCTGGAAATACAAGGTCTTAACTGTTTTAATACCTTCTTTATACAATGATGATGATGATGATGATGATGATGATGATGATGATGATGATGATGATGATAATGATGAGGATACAATACTTACTAGTTACTGTTAAAGTTTTAGTCCCCTGAAGGAGACAGCCCAGTGTTGACGTCCACTTACAGACGCAAACCGTGCCATTATCAGCTGTCCGGACAGACAAAAACTCAATCTTATCCTCGCCATCTTGGTTGATGCTGACGCTGTTGTTAATGCACAACAAGTCAATGTGTTCACCAATCACCCCAGTGGCGCTACAAGTGACGGTAACGTTGTCTCCGGGGACGATTTGTTCATCTCTTTCTCTTCCGTTGACGGTGAAGACTGGGTGACTTATCTCGGGATCTAAGAAGAAGAAGAAGAAGAAGAAGAAGAAGAAGAAGAAGAAGCCCATGATGTGTGGGGAAGAAGAAGAAGAAGAAGAAGAAGAAGAAGAAGAAGAAGAAGAAGAAGAAGAAGAAGAAGAAGAAGAAGAAGAAGAAGAAGCAATATTTGTTTCCCACCTAGAAACAGATCTTGAACAACTAGTGGACGAAGACTCCGAAG